TAACTCACTATCTTTGCCATAGAAGCCCCAAAATTAAGGATATTTCTAATAAAAGTTTAATACCCAAAAATCTTATAAACCAAAGGATTAAAGCCAAATCTCACCAATTTAAATTACCCAAAACTCTAACCCAAAATTCATAACTAAAACTTATACTTACCTAACAAAAGCACCTTAACCTTGGTTGGAGAAAAGAAGGAGGAAATGATGTAGGTGGAAGAGGAAGGCATAGAAAACCAAATGAGGCTTTTGGGAGCCTTCTGGAGGCTTATCCAAGCTTCCACCGACAAAGACCAAAAAACTTGGTTGGGAAAATGCCATGTGGTAAGCAAAATTGGAATAATTGAGTTATGGCATTCAACTTCTACTAAGTTTTACCTAAAACCCCCAAACTTTAAATTCAATCAATTTAATCCCTAAAACTATAAACTAAAGGACACTAATTTTTAAATTATTCACTAAGGTATGTGGGGTGTTACATCCTTCCCACCTTAAAAGCATTTGGCCCACCAAATCATTTAGCTTACCAAAATAGATTTGGATACTGCCCCCTCATCTGACTTTCAAGTTCCCATGTAGCTTCATTTTCAGAATGATGCCGCCACAACACTTTCACTAAGGACACAGTCTTGTTCCTCAGAACTTTTTCTTTCCTATCCAAAATTTGTATTGGCTGTTCGGTGTAACTCAAATCTTCCTTCAACTCTAATGGTTCATAGTTTATGACATGTGAAGGATCCGGCTCATACTTCCTCAAAACCGACACATGAAATACATTATGCACATTTGACAATTTTGGAGGCAATGCAATTCTATAAGCCACTTCACCTACCCTTTCAAGAATCTCAAACGGGCCAATGTACCTCGGACTGAGTTTTCCTTTCAAACCAAACCGATACACTCCCTTAGTTGGTGACACCTTAAAAAATACATGATCTCCAACTTCAAATTCCAGAGGTCTCCAACTTCAAATTCCAGAGGTCTCCTTCTATTGTTTGCACAACTCCTTTGTTTGTCTTGAGCCACTTTAAGCCTCTGCCGAATTAATTTCACCTTTTCTGTTGTTTGTTGCACAAAATCAGGCCCCATTACTCTTCCATAGCCAACTTCTGCCCAACAAATTGGAGTTCTACATCTCCTGCCATAAAGAGCCTCATAAGGTGCCATTTTGATACTGGAATGATAGTTATTATTATAAGCAAACTCTGCCAAGGGAAGATGATCATCCCAACTCTCAGGCAAATCTAACGCACAAGCTCTTAGCATGTCTTCGAGCACTTGAATAGTCCTCTCAGACTGCCCATCGGTTTGTGGGTGGTATGCTGTGCTTAATTTCAATTGAGTTCCCATGGCTTTTTGAAAAGATCTCCAAAATCACAATAAACCTTGGATCTCAGTCTGATACAATGCTCACTGGGACCCCATGGAGTTTAACAATCTCCTGAACATAAAACTTGGCCAACTTGTCTAATGGGTCTTTTTGTTTTATGGCCAAAAAGTGAGCTGACTTTGTTAATCTATCCACAATCACCCAAATTGCATCAAATTGCCTTCTTGTCTTCGGCAATCCCACAATGAAGTCCATTCAGATGGCTTCCCACTTCCACTCTGGTATAGGCAAAGGTTGAAGTTGCCTTCCTGGCTTCTGGTGCTCTGCTTTTACCACTTGACAAGTCAAGCATTTGGACACATATTTAGCCACATCCTTTTTCATGCTTTTCCACCAAAATGCCTCTTTTAAGTCATGATACATTTTGGTACTCCCATGATGAATGGTATAATTGGACTTGTGTGCTTCTTGGAGCAATTCCGTCCTCAACCCTTCATCATATGGAACCCAAATTCTATCTCCAAGTCTTATGATTCCATCATCCGAAATATGAAGACCCATTTTGGAGCTTTTTCCACTGTCCTTCATCCACTCCAGCAATTTTGAATCTTTTTGTTGTGCTTCCTTGATCTTTGACAACAGCGTAGGTTGAACCATCAAACTAGACACTAGTACATCAGACTTTGGTGGCAAAAACCTGACATTCAAATTCTTGAATTCTTCTAGGAGTTTCCACTCCATCACCATTAAGCTTGCTAAAGTGCCAGTTGATTTTCTGCTAAGTGCATCTGCAACCACATTTCCCTTTCTAGGTTGATAGACAATTTTGCATCGATAGTCATTTAGATACTCCATCCATCTTCTTTGTCTCAAGTTAAGCTCTTTTTGTGAAAATAAATATTTCAAGCTTTGGTGATTAGTGTGCACCTCGAACTCTTCTCCATACAAATAGTGCCTCCATAACTTAAGTGCAAAAATGGTGGCAGCGAGTTCTAAATCATGTGTAGGGTAATTCCTCTCATGTGTCTTGAGCTGTCTAGACCCATAAGCTATCACCCATCCATGTTGCATAAGTACACAACCCAAGCCTTTGTGAGAAGCATCGGTATATACCACAAAGTTTCCTCCATTGTCAAGAATAGCAAGAATTGGTGCTGTGACCAATCTGTTCTTCAACTCTTGAAAGCTTTGCTCACATTTATCTGTCCATTCAAACTTCTGATTCTTACGAGTAAGTTGTGTTAACGGACCAGAAATCTTTGAATATCCCTCCACAAACCTTCTATAATATCCTGCTAGTCCAAGAAAACTCCGCACTTCGGTGACACTAATCGGCCTTTCCCATTTCATAAATGCTTCCACTTTACTAAGATCAACTGATATGCCGTCTTTCGAGACAACATGACCCAGAAAACTAATCTGATTCAGCCAAAACTCACACTTATCAAACTTGGCATATAACTTCTTTTCTCGCAAAATCTGCAATACAATAGCCAGATGCTCCTTGTGGCTTTCTTCATCAGGAGAAAAGATAAGAATGTCATCAATGAAGACAATGACAAACTTATCTAAGTACAGCTGAAAGATCCTATTCATAAGATCCATAAAAGCTGCAGGGGCATTGGTTAAACCAAACGACATTACCAGGAACTCGCAGTGCCCATATCTGCTCCTAAAAGCAGTCTTCATCACATCCTTGGGTTTAACCTTTAGTTGATAATAACCCGATCTAAGATCAATTTTGGAAAAGACACGAGCCCCTTGTAACTGATCAAACAAATCATCAATCCTTGGCAAAGGATATTTATTCTTGACGGTGACTTGATTCAACCGTCTATAGTCAATGCACAATCTAAGTGAGCCATCTTTCTTTTTCACAAAAAGAACCGGAGCACCTTAGGGAGAAGTACTGAGTCTAATGAACCCCTTATCAAGAAGCTCTTGCAACTGCTTTTTCAATTCAATTAATTTTACTGGGGCCATTCTATAAGGTTGCTGGGATATTGGTGCAGTACTAGGCACAAGGTCTATAGTAAACTCAATCTCCTTATTTGGAGGTAGCCCAGGCAACTCCTTAGGGAAAACATCAGGAAAGTCTTCCACTACCCAAATTCTTTCTACAGACACTAGCTTGTCTTTAGATTCAAAAACATATGCCAGATATCCATAACACTCATGCTGCAACATTTTATCAGCTTGCATGCAAGAAACAACTAATGGAAATGATCCAACTTTTTCTCCTTCAAACCGAATCACAGGCTGGTTAGGAGCGGAGAAAGTAACCACCTTCTCATAACAATCAACCATGGCATAATGGGTAGACAACCAATCCATACCAAGTATGACATCAAATTCCACTATACCTAACAAAATCAGATCGGCAAGCAAAACTCTACCCTCTACCATAACTCTACAAGATCTATAAATGGTTTTTGATGTTAAAACCTCCTTAGAAGGAGTATTCACCACAAGCACACAATCAAGGGTCTCAGGCTCCACATGCAAAAATGACACATACTTAGGTGACACAAATGAGTGGGTAGATCCAGAGTCAATCAACACAGGGGCATTCCCAAAAGAGATAGGTATTTTACCTTTTATAACTGTAGGAGTGTTTTGAGCTTATTGTTCCGTGATGGCAAAAACTCTTCCTTGAACCCTGGGGTTCTTATTATCTTGATCCTTTGACTGCTGACTTGTTCCCTTGAGAACCGGGCAATCCTTGATCAAGTGGTCAGTCTTCCCACACTTGAAACATGCCCCAATCTGCCAATAACATTCTTTTCCCCCATGGTTCTTACCGCACCTTTTACAAAAATCAAAACTTGGTCTGTTGCTTTCAGGGATCTTCCTTTTTCCCATTTGTTCAGGCTTCTTATTGAAAGGCTGGGTGTTGTTGATAGCCTTTCCCTTACCTTTTGAGTCATGAGTCTCCATTCTTTGCTCCTCCATATCTTGCTCAATTATTTGAGCCGTGGCTAAGACCTCATCATAAGTCTTTAGCATTTGAGGAACCACCTTGTTCCTAATGGAAGCTTTCAACCCTCTTTGAAACTTCCTTACCTTTCTAACTTCATCATTAACAAGGTGAGGAGCAAACTTCATAAAAGAACTGAATTTAGCTTGATACTCATCAATTGTCATGTCATCTTGCTTCAGATTCATGAACTCCAGTTCCTTTCTTTCCAACACAGCTGTAGAAAAATATTTTTGATAGAAGGCTTGAACAAACTTGTCCCATGTAACCTCCTCCCCTCTCTTAGAAAACCCATCTTGAGCAGCTGTCCACCAATCATCAGCTTCACCTTCTAATGTGAACACTGCTAGCTCCACTTTTTTCCCATCAGTACATTTTAGGAACTTGAACATTTTTTCTAATTTCTTAACCCAAGACTCAGCCACATCGGGATCAGGAACTCCCTTGAAGCTAGGCGGGTTCATGTTCTGAAGTTGCTTCACCAATGTCAACTGCTGATTTCCTTCTCTAGAGTCCATTGTTTGCTGTGAATTGCCACCAGTGTTTTGTGGGGCATTATTGTTGTTCTAATGTTGAAGATAATCCCTAAAGATGGAACACATATCCGTAATGGCCTTTTGCATTATGTCCATTCGGGCATTCACATCATCAGCAGGAGGAGGAGTAGAAGTTTTGTCTCCTTGACTCATCTTCCTTCTCTGGTACTGATACAAACAAAGAGTGCAAAACTAATAGTTAGGCAAAATCTAATCCTATGACACTAGACTCTAACTCATATGGCAGATCAATATATTAGCAAAACCTTGGCTCTGATACCAAAAATATAACACACCTCCCTAGGCACTCTTAGTTCTAGAAGAGTTCGAAAACAAAATTTATAGTAAAGAATTGCAACGGAAGTAAAAAAACACTTATGATATAAAATATTTCTTCAAAAGAAAGCCTACATTTAGAAAATCAATTTAATAAAAAGAATATCATATATATATTGGAAAATGCCAAAATATTCAAAGTAATAAGATAAACTGAGTTAAGCTCATTTATAATTAATTTAAAGATTTATACATAAAGGTAATTTACACAAAAATTATACGAGGCAAATTCTTCTTCAAAGCTTTTCAAAAAAACCAAAGCTGAGTCATTGTTTTGGTAATACATTGATCTGCCTCCTTATCGAAAACACGAGGCCATAACTTGTACATACAACGAGCATGCGAGTCCCGTGCCAAAAGCTCCTAAACCGAGAGGCTGCTACCTCGATCTACTGATCTAAAATAGGGGGGAATTTTATGAGCTCACAGCCCAGTAAGTAATAAGTTTAGGCTATAAACTTGGGTTCTAAGACCCTTAGACCTATCCACACAAGGAGCATAAGACACAACGGAATCAAATCACATAATA